AGTTTTATTTCCTAAATTCATAATTTCAAGAAAAAAATATAATGTTGACATTTGGGTAGGCCGTGGAAACACTCAAAACCACCAGAAAGATAATAAAATATGAATTAACATTACAAGCCTACACTATACTCACATTTACATACTTACACAAAAAAAAAACTATACAATTCAAATACAAAGAAAAATAAAATACGAAAACAAAATACGAAATACACCAAAAAAAAAAACCTGCGGTAAAAAATTAAATAAAGAGCAAAAAGCCAACATCACGTGGTATTCCCAGGCGGTCACCCATCCAAGTACTAACCACGCCCGATGTTGCTTAACTTCGGTGATCGGACGAGAACCGGTGTATTCAACATGGTATGGACGTTGGCGAAAGTAAAAGCAAATTTAATGTATGTTATCCACAGTTAGACGTCAATTTATATTAATAAAAAAGTGTCGCGTCCCAAATTTTTGTATGATTTTTTTCCGTCTAGCCCCCTTTCACAACGCGCGATAAGGAACTTCGTTCCAATAATGTAAACAAACGGTGAAACTAAACAATTTTCATTCAACGGTTGACTTGAGTTGACCCTTGCGCGACTTCGGTTAGCGATTATTTTAACTTAATAAGTTATATTTTATTAACAATAACTTTGTAACAAATAATATTTTTTAACTTTTAATCACATCTGCTTTGTGGCACCTAATTTGTGTTTTTTTTTATAGTTGTGTATTGTATTATAATGTGTGGGTGGCACGCGTAAGTTAATATAAGTTACATAAAGTATTTTGTGAACGTATTAATCACCTTGTTTTTGTTTACAATAGGATTATAATCTCGTGGCATCTAGTGCTCAGTAGCGAAATTGTACAATGCATTCGTATCTAAAACTGGTCGTTAGATGGCGTAAGTAGTTAAGTTCACGTTTAATTTTTTTATTGAAAAGGGTTTTTTTATCATTACCTAAAGTATCCAGAAGAAAAAAAAAAAAATTTACAAGTATAAAAAACGTAACAAATCTTGTGGAAATATGAGGCCTTAAATATTTTAGATATCGTCAAGAGTCCGAAGAAACTAATCGTTAAGAGAAATGAAACTTGCAAAAAAGTACTAGTTGTTTATCTTTACATAATAAAAATACATGTTAAAAAATTATCGTTTCGTACTCGTATCCTGCGTTGGGTACTATGAAAACCGGGCTTTTCGGCAAGGCAGTATGCATGAATCGAATTAAACAAAAACTACACCAGTCACGCTGAGTAATAAATAGGAGGGGTCTGGAAGAGACTGCTATCTATTAAGCTATGCTAACCTTGTCACTCGGCTAGTTCTTATGTTCATGTTATGTCTGTATGACTGTAGTTCTAATAAACAAGTAAGACTATCATTCTATTTACTGTTATCGAACGAAATATTTGTGACGGAAACAAATTAAATGTATGTAGATACAAGTTACTTGCACATACATATTATTATGTACCTATTTTATCGTGTATTCTATGTAGATCGTCGTGGCGTCGTAAAAACGGCGACGACAGTGGCAAGTCTGTCTCGGCTAATGCGAAATGTCGGGGGCCAAGGAGCAGTTGCAAACGAGAACGAAGAAAAAGAGACGCTAGGAACCCAGGGAAACCGGGCGTTAAACTTATACGCTTATTGAGCGAGTCCGTGACTGGGTCCTACGGGAACATGGAGAGGTGGATTACTACCTCACAGAGTTCCTTACTGGACACGATCACTTCAATGCCTATGTGCAACTAATGGGGAAGGCTTCCTAGTACCGTGAAGTAATGGTAACGTGGTCTTTTGGTACTAAGTACAAGAGAGGGGAGGTTTTCAGTGGGTATAAATTTTAGATTACCGGTCTACAAGAACTTGATAAGGGTCTTTTAGAAGATTTCGTCCTCTCTATCACAATTAAAAAAAGAATAGGCACCTATTTTTAATTTTAGTATCATTTACCTGTATTAAAAGTATTAGTACATAGTAACACTTTAAGTTTTATTGTTTCTTTTCTTATTATGACCTAATCAGTTATCAAGCGTAGGTACTGACTCATCGTGTGGTGTAGGTAATGATGTGTCTTTGACATACATGTAGATTTATGTATAAATTCAATGAAAGTAATATATTCCTCCTATTTCTACAAATCAAGACGTATATCCTTGTGATATAAAAAAACTGTTAGTGTTGCAGCATTCCTGTCAAATGCTGCAATACTGACACGGTAGCAACCACATGATGAGTAGAAACCCCAACAGATCCAAAGCTTCTAAGTATTTATAGTTACATAGGTACTTCGGTAGGATTGTCACAGGCAGATATGATAAGAAAAAAGATTTTCTTCTTTTTATTTAAGTGACAAAAATTAACTTTAAGATTTAGAAAATATTACTAATATGAAAAAAGTGTAAATTAAAACGATAAAACATACTACATGGGGGACGGTTTGGCGGCCTATTGGTCTAGAAATCTCGTGGTTGGTCAAATCAACTTCTAAACCTAAGGTCATAGTTTTGAATATGTAATAGAGTTACAAATACATCTTTGAAAACCTTGATTGATAATAGACAATTGTACAAAACGTTAGAAAGTAGGGAGTAAAATGGTTCTGTTAAAAATTAAAACCGTGGAAGAACTGCTGAGGTACAAATGGGCCGGCTCGACCGAAGCAATACCATGGCCTCGCAGAAAACCAATGTTAAGAATTTCTTTCGTTGCTTTACACCGAGTGAGTGAAGTTACCGGAACCCAAACCGCTTTTTCTAATTCTAGGGAAGGACTCAAAGAGAACACATTTGTGACTCTTAAGTCGCAGGTGTTCATTGGCGACGTCTTTAAAAAAAGCCGTATCTGGCGGGCATGTTATGTACAAGTCTTTGAATTAACTCCAATGCGATGAAGTCAATATAAAACAGTCCATCGTCCTATACTCTTAAAATAGCAAGATCGATGAGGTGAAATTGTAAAGGAAATTTATCAAATGCCGGGAGTTAGTCAACCAAGCAGCCTTGCTGTGACTCCTATAAAAGTTTTGCAACAAACAAACCAATCATCTAAAAAATATTATTTTTCTACTATTGTTACCCGACTGCATCAGAAGAAGGGTTAAGTATGTGTTTCAAGTGTATGAATGTGGACCGGCTTGATGGATTTTGGCTTGGGAGGTGTCGTTAGATTTGATTTTTTTGTGAGAGTGACATTGGTATCTGAATATTATAAAAATTAAAATCGACGGTTTATACACATATTTGCATTTTCACGTAGTTGGTTCTTAGTTTAGTTAGTTGTTTTATTTCATTGTTCAGTTAGTTATTGCTGTTTCTTAATCCTGTCTCGTTTACTTGAATTGTGATAAGTCTTAAATATTTTTTAAAGAATCTTTTATATCAAAACTTCAATGTATCATATGAAACAGTTTTGTTTGGTCATTGAATATATTAATATTCTCAACGAGGGCAACGTAACAATTTTCGTTACGTCCTTAGAAAAATTGTGTTATAAATTAGGGTATTTATTTTAGTACAAAAACTTTGCGGTAGTAGCTACTACCGCTAACCAACTGGCTTACCTCAAAATCAATATGATCTGACTTTCCAATATGAAAAAATTAACTTTAAAACTTCTAGGAAGGCTACTAAAATACCCTTAGAAAGCGTAGAGAAAGTTTTAGCATTTTATTTACACTCGTAAGAATTGCTTCTAAACGGGCCTATAAAACATATGCCTATGTTATAAATATCGGATGCAATATTATTTAGTGGTAATGTTTGTAATAAGCACCAAACCATGAAGACATCGTGAGGTACAACTGTTACAAAGGTGTTACCTCATCGATGTATAGTGATGTAAGTCTATTATAGAACTTTATCGACATTCCGCGAAGAAAGTTAAAATAAAAACGAGAAAAAAGTTTCGTATTTCCATTTATAAATACGAGTAAGTACATATATCGGATACTAGGTGTGCTTGTGACTTAGTTCATGTATTTGTCATAATGTGATATATATTTATTTTTGTGGTTCCGAACGACTGGCAGGTCATACATTTTTTTATTGGTTTACCCAAATTCACCAACTTCTTACTATTATTATTAAAACAAAAAAGTTGTCCAATGTGTGCAGACGTTTTCGACGATTTAGACACAATTAGCTGTTTTATTTTTAGTTTAACAAATGCAGGCAAATCTTAATCCGTTGAAGGTAGTAAAGTCAGCTTGAGAAATATGGAAAAACTCATGATGTCTATATATGTCTAAAAAAACTAATGGATAAGTACGGTAAAGATAGCTCTGTTAGGTTAAGGGTGATTATCACCCCTCCTATAAAATTAATCTACTTGGAAAATGTTGTACAAAATACAAAATCTTTAGAAAAAAATACTTTATGAGGTTGTTATTTAAATTTTTAAATGGTGTTAATAAACTACGGAACCTTACACAAGGCGTGGTTCGAAGCGCACTTGGCCGGTTTATTATCAAGTCTTAACACTCATTCTCGTTCATATTACATTTACTTGTAATCACCTGCAACAGTAGTTTAAAGCTGCAAAGTAACCACTAAACAACAATAGCACAAGTTTAGTGTAATCTTATCACACGTTTGTTATGATAACTGAACTGCGTACGTAACATATGGATTAGATATTCACTGATAGCACACTTAACGATTTGGTCATTGTAGTGTCGGTATCTATAGTTTTACTTTTAGGAACACTTAGTAGGTACATCACTAATAGTAATGTCTTGTTGCGCAGACACGCCACTAAAATGTTGAAAGAAAGTGAACGCAATACGCACCGCTCGGTGGTGGTAGGTCGGCAGTATGCGCTGATGCCTTCGCTTTGAAACCCGTATCGCAACGAAAGCCGTTGACGCGCGAAAATTAAAAGGAATGCAATATTTAAATTTTGCATTTACGAACGGATTTGTTATGAATGAAAGGCGGTTTTTCAGTAGTAATTAAAGATTAAGTGAAACTTTTTGTACGAGCTTTTGTGGTTACTAGAAAAAATGGATTTATATAGTGAAGCAAGTAGTGGGACGCGAAGTCTAACTCCTCGCCATATCAGCGCAGATAAGGTGCTGCCAGAAATCAACAATGCTATTAACTCGACGCTTTTGTGCCATAAATACAGTAATAATCCAGAATTTGCATCTTACTACTCAGGTAATTTGGGATAATTAAATATGTCGAAAAAATATTGTGAAATTATGTGGCCAACTTACAGCTAATGTTATCAATGAATTACCTACTAATTTCAAATATTGGCACATACATTTTGCTATGATTTTGCACCCTAATAAATTAATAAGCAAATTGGTATTGAATGCGTTAATTCATGTAACTTTCTTATAATTTACACTTTTTATTGGGTATAACATAAAACCTGTCCTTTATTCCTCATCTGACTGATAGATAACACATATTTGCTGACAATCCTTACACATAACTTTCATCTTATTTTAACGATTTTAACAATCGTTTATCATATTCGGCTGTTTAAATCCCACCATGTGCAATGTGGTCAACATTTAAACAGCAGATTTAAATTTTTTGGTTCTGTCAAAGTAAAAATCTAGATTATATCCTTTTTTCCCTTGCGGAAGTCCCCTCGGAAACCCCCCGCCGGAGGTTTCGGGTATCAGTAGCCGGGGTAACAGGGTGTAATCTAGAAAGGAAATCCTTGTTACCCCGACGGGGATTTTGTCGTCCTGCACATATTATTTGGTCCGGATTATTTGGTGACGGATTGTCACCACACCTATTCATCCGGTGGGTATCGTAAGAGCCGACTAAGGGAGCAAACTACGCAGGACAATAGCATTGCAAACAGAAGGAAAATTTCACATAAACCCTATAGCAACCCGTCCGGCCAGCGTGGTATAGCAGGCCAAAACCTCCTTTCTAAGGAGAGGCCTATGTCCAGCAGTGGACTATTACAGGATGTTGATGATGATGAAGTGATATTTTATTTTAAGAACCAAATTTTTCCTAATGTCTCGATATGTTATCACGCGTTAACACACTTTATGATTTCGGGCCTATGACCAATTAGAGGCGACAAATAACAATCGCATTTCAGTATTCTCTTTTCACATAATTTGTTTACTTACCAAAACGTACTTTATGTCTATAAAACAAGAACATTTCACCAGTTAAGCATTCCTTCATAGCTTTTTAACAAGTGAAGTACCGGAGACCAACCCCTCCCCCCCTCCTCCTTATTCTCGGGGAGGACTCAAATACCAGCAACCAGGGCCGCCGGGTACGGGTGTGCAGAGCGTGCACCGCATACGGCCGGCATTTTCAAAGCGACGCCAAAAACAAATCGAAACTAAAACGCTTTCCATCAGGTGACCCGTCCGCGTCTGCTCGTTTGCACCTGCTGTAATTTGAATTACTCAAGACGCGGGCGCGGGATTCCTAAAAATCCCATACCGAGCGATAGTTTTACGTTCGGGGAATTTGGGGCGATTTCCCGTTATGGAGGATTGGCTCAAGAGGAAACACGGAACCCTCTGGCCAGAGCGTGGACACGACCGTGGACACAGAATGCCCGGCGTATGAGGAGCAGACGCATGACCTTGTGACTGATTGCGGCCATGGTACGTAGTGCGTGCGCATAGAACTCCGCTAACCCTTTCGGCCCGCCAGGCCCGGGAACGGGCCAGGTACCGCAGGCGGCTCAAGCGCCTGAGGGCGCTGAATGATCTCCGTCCTCCATAAGCGCAGGCCTGGGGTGACAGGTGGCGACATGTGACATGTGGCATGGCGTGCGGTTTTAAGACCGGCGCTGACTGACGTCGCGGCATAGCATGGCAGGGTGTCCTTTGGCAGCCGGAAGGATGTTGTGGTATGAAGCATTATGCCAAAGCATGCCGCGTCACGTCGTGGCATCCCGCAGAAGAAAGCCTAGCACCGATAAATGGGCGGTTTCATCGGCATTGTACACGGGCGCTCAAACAGCTAGCGGCGACCATAGCTGCAACGCACTTGTGTCTCTTGCGGTGAAGGTCCCCATGTCACTTGCCATTAGGTGTCCCATTTTCTCATTTGCCTCCGTAGACCATGAAGTATTTCAGTTTTTATATTATTTTTAACTTTTAAAAAAGTATTTTATTTCTGCCAATAAGTATTTTTAATTATAAAGTTAATGAAACTTGCGTCGTAATTTCGTGTCGTCTAGAAACGTTAGTGAGCGCTGGGCCCAAGGGTAGAATTACGCATTGCGCGGAATGCACAGCTTTACAATTATTTAGTTATCTGTTTTAATGAACATGTTGTCTTGGTTGTTAATCGTTTACTGACAAAGGATTCGTGACTCGGTTCTTTGTAGTTTTGCATAGAATTATAATGGTTTCCAATTCATATGAAGTTTAATGATTTAATTGACGATCACCTTTATAAAGTTTATTTCCTAGTTTGATTTAAGATTAAGATATTATGGATAAATTGCGTTTTAATAAAAAAATATTTTTCGCGATTTCGATTAACTTTAATTCGACTTACTAATGCGAAGTCTATAACTTTATACTCTCGGTGGCACTAGTGGGAGGTACAATACAATCCAATAAATTGTAACTGTTAGTATTATTGTTTATCCAATTTAATTTCAATGGTGTCTAAAACCACTATTTAGCTCTACTTGGTTGAAACGTTTAAATATTTATTATCTTATTGAAGTCCATCTTTGTCCGTTTCTTGGTTTAATCGGAATCCATTTTGGTACTTCCTGAAAAAAAAATTAGTACTTCAGTTGATGGATTAAGAATCCCTTTGTTTGCTTCTTGACATTATAATTATTTAGAAAATCTAACAGGGCAACAGATCATATCCTTGTTTTTCTCCATGGTCAATAATAAACATAAAGATTTTTTTTGTCATCTGGCTTACAATTAAAACTATTGTGCTTAAGTTAATTATTGTTCCCCTACATTTTAGTATGGTGAATGCACAGTGTAAGTAAAACTGGTGCCAGTTTATTTTGCTCGTTTTACAAGGTGCAACATGCTACATGTATAAATGATGAGTTACGATCTTTTAAAAATGGTAGGTAGGTAGGTAATATGTGTCCTTAATATTTAAGGGTACGGTTCAAAGTTCAGGGGTATTTATTTTGATACTTCCGACTTTCAAGTTTATACTTGATAAATGATGTCTCCGATTATTGCACTTATCATTTTATAATTGAAAGTTTAAACGCGGAGAATCTACATTTACATTCTTTTTTCTTCCATTACTTTCAAAATTTCATTATCATCATCATCCTTTAATAGTCCACTGCTGGACATGCTTGTAGGCCCCTCCTTAGAAAGGAGGTTTTTGGCCTTCTGTACCACGCTTGCCAGAGGGGTCGGTAAAGAGTTTGTGTCAAGTTTTAGTTCTTTTTGCAGAACTGTTGTCCTCCGTAGTTTTCTCCCTTAGTTGGCTCTTACGACACCTACGGGATGTATAGGGGTGCTGACATGTCGTATTCTTAATCTGTCACATGGATTTAAAATTTAGGTTACATCTAAAACAGTGTCTATAATATATATTTTAAAATTTGCATCTATATGTTTGTTCAATTTAAATATTTCTAAATTTTTACGTAATTGGATAGAGGCCTATGCTCAAAATAAATTATTTCCCCACGTCCTGATATAATATAACATAATACAAATAAAAAAAATGGCGACCCGTTTTAGTCTATCGTTTTATAATCTTCGTATTAACATAAAAAGTGAATGTTTTTTTTTTAAGTAAGACATGACGTTTCGCCTAGATATTTAATATAAAAAATTAAATGTACCCTACAGTTTCGACATTTACTAAATGAGACTGGGTTGACTTGTAAGTCATCGACCCTAATATTATTGATAATAGAAGATGAGAGGAGGCCTTAATTTGCATTATATAATTTAAAGTTATGCAAATAGCTCAAGTAACAAAAAATATTTGTCGTTTTTTCGTACTTGATATTTAACGTTTGTAAAATGAGTTCCGTATGTGTTAATTAGTGACATGATCAGTACGTTGTTGTGTTTAATTTTAAAACCAAAAGAAACTGTCGTCTTCGTCGCCGTTGATAATGATCTACCTTGGACCATTTTCTTCTGACTGTATCCCCTATTTCCTGAGGTCATCACCAATATTTCTTTTGACTATTATTAATGTATATGCATATATATGCTTTTTCCTAATTGGAATTCATTTTTTTACAAAAATCAAAGACAACCATCCGTAATTTTTTTTTAGAAGTAAAATACCGACAATTTTCGTTCTTATAAAACCTACGTCACAGCCATTGGTCTTCAAAAAACCAACTTCAAAAAAGAGGGAGGTTCTCAATTCGTCGGAATCTTTTTAGTAAATTAAATTGAAAGAACCGGCAGCTACGATTATAATTGTACATAATATAAAATGCGTTAAAATATTGTATCATAGCATAATAAAATATTTTGTAAGTTTTCAAATTGAAATATTTGAGAACGTCTATTATATACGACATCTGTGAATGTGAGTGACTAGCCTGTTGATCTACTAGAGGTTAGTACCCCTGACTGCTGTGCCTGAGGTCGTGGGTTCGATTGCCACCCAGGGAAAATAAGTATGTAATGACCACGACCATTTATTGTCTGGGTGTAATAATTTATCTATAATGTATGTACTTATGTATGTACTTAAAAATTAGTGTAGTGTAGTGTAGTTACCGTAGCACAGGCTCTGCCTAGTTTTGGATCAGACTAGAGTGTGTGAGGTTAGTATTTAAAATGAAAATATTAAATGAAATACCTTGTCTTTGAGTATAGAGAACGCTAATGTGTTGTCATTATTGCTATCAATTGTAAAGTTATTAAACTTTATTTAAACAAACGATTACATTTATAAATTAAAATCATTTGCTTTTTTGCAATTTGCTCTCACTTAATTTTTTTAGCGTCTGTGTCCTTGACCATGCACTCAGGCCGCACTGCTCGATTCATAAAATCTTTTGCAAAACATTTACTGCATGTTGCATATTGCAAATGTAAAATCAAGAAAAAGACAGGAGATACCGCGAACAGAAGTCGTTGCGTATTTTAATTAATGTAGTTAACATTGGATTCAATTTTATTCCATGACACAAATATATTTGTGTCGCGCAGCTCATATAAGTTCACATTAAAAAATATCATGACTTATAA